ACACACACACACACACACACCACATTTACAATAAACAATCATTACAAGTCGTAGCTTGCTTTGAGAATTCTTTTGACCACCGTGCTCATTGACAATTCTTTATAATATTGTGTCTTCCAGCTCCATATCTCACAACTAGAAATGTGTGTTCGGTCCCCGCTGCGCAGCTGTACTGTTTGCGTAGCTTTGGCGGTTTTCGTTGTTGTTGTTGTTGCTGTTGATTTTAAAGTGCCTAGGGTGCTTTCGCGGTTGTGTGGACACATTCCGGGAATACGATTCAAGGGCGAATGAGCGGGCCAGGAGAGCATCTCTCTCTCTCTCTCTCTCTCACACACAAACACACACAGAGTGGCTGGTCGACGTTCGATTTGTCCTCACCTGAACACCGCGTCGTGGGTGACGGGGACAGGGGAGATTACTCTCGCCTGCTTGGTAGAGCTGGGCCAGTTATCTTTTCCCAATGAACCGGGTTCTTGAAGTATCCATTCGTAAATTAACCGGTTCATAGCTTGAGATAATGATTATAAAATGTAAAAAGGGGGGCGGGGACGGATGGCTCTTCGTTAAAACGCGTCGAGAAAAAATCTGACATTCAGTACAATCTTTCCCCTTCAGTTTTTTTCTTAATGAATGAGCTTATATCACTTAGTATAAATGATGTACACATAAAATCCAGAATGGCTCAGTTCGTAGCTCCCCCTTCCCTACCCCATTTCCACCCAACCCCCTTCTTCGTCCTGTTTTCCTTTTCAGTCTCTTATGCAGCAAAAAGCACTGCCATGAGGTCAAAATTGGAAAAAATACTAGAAAAAGCATCCACACCAATTTATCATTTCAGACTCAAAGACCGTTTTGCAACTTGAGCTTTTAATTAAAATCAAAGATGGATCTGATCCGGGCGTGATACCTTTTTGAAAAATTAACCGAATAACCGGATATCGACCCGGATCCACCCTCCCCCGAGCTGCTTTGTTTTGCCGGCTCGCATCGTCGTCTGCTGCGTTGTTGTAGTATCCCTTCAGTGACTCTGTGACTCATTAGATGAATAGGAGACGTCTGCTTCTTGTGTGTGTGTGCCTTGTCGTTTTGCTTGAGTCGAACAGTATGCCGGTCATTTAGATGGTGATTCTGTGCCAGTGGTCTTTTGAACCTTGAAACACGTAGTCGGGCAGAAGTTCTAGTCCTGTGAAACACCGGTATCTTATTGGTTTGGAAGCGTGCCCGTTTTGTGCAGATTTTTAAAATCATTTAATTAGTTAATAAGTTGCTGGAATTTTCTCTGTTGGTATTCTGAGACTCACCTTTCTGCCTTTGTTTATTTTATTAATATTGCTGTGAAAATGAGGAAAGTTGTGATATGCTTTTGTTGAAATTGTGTTTCCTGGGATCAGCAAAAGTCTGTCATATTTGAGCTACACATAGAAGGAGTCTTCGAGGCGAACTCACTCAACTCACAACTGGTATTTTACTAATGTGTGACGACTTTTATGTGGTAATTATAAACGTCCACGCCAGCGACACATAAGCCAGCGCACGGAGCATACAATAATTTGTAATATAATGTGTGCATGTATCTTAATTACGGACGTCCAATAAATAACGCTATTTTCTTTTCGCGCCAACTGATGAAGTTGGCCCTCATGACTGGTCCTCAAAATCGTTCCAAGTACGATTTTAAATTGAGTACGCCTAATTGTAAGGGTTTTTCCTGAGAAAAAAATATGTATTGTTACTGAACTGTTCCAATTTATGATTGAAGTTGAAACGCCTGGCACCGTTTTTTCGTATGATGCTAAAGATGGACACTCAAATGCATTATGCAGACGTTTACCGTTAAGCCTGTACAAGTTCACTGTGGTCTGTGAGCCAAAGAGAGTTAACCTGGTCAGCCCGACTCACCAGGGCATTGATACGTCTTCTCTTTGTTGTTGGCTCCCTCTGTGCACGTGGGCTTTGTGAAAACGACAGTGTTGACATTACCTTCTAGATCTACATCGCGCAGTTTGGTGCGTGGATGAGAATTTTCTTCCACTGCTGCACACTATAAAGTGTTGCAATATGGGTGTGGAGCTCTCACTGTTTAAACAGGGCATTCTTTCGTGAGTACTTCAGTCTCTGCGTTTTGATCATTGGTACTGTATGGCTTTTCCCCCCGTTGTCTTGGTACGTTGCTGTTACCTTTGTTTTTGTTTGTTTGTTTTTTGTTTTCGTTTGTTTTGTAATTATTTTGATACTTGTCTGTCTTGTGCTTGTTTCATTCTCCATTTGTAAATAAAAAGAAGGGGGGGGGGGGAATGTAAGTGTTGGTGAGCGTGCGTTTACGTTTGAGGATGAGTAAGTAAGATAAAGATGTACACATCGGTGATTGGTTTACATACTATAATATGCTAATGGCGGTCAAAAGAAAGATACCTTTTATTTTTTGATTGGGTAAAAAATCTTTTGAGTCTTTACGCTTATTATTTCATGTGAGTGATACAAAGTATTCTAAAAAGCAGGTCATGTTATAAAAATAACAGTAATTTGGTGCTTCAATTATTGTTCACAGAACGGGCATTGAAAAATTAAACAATGGAACATTTGTCCCCCTACTACGTGGTAGACTTTTTTCTATTCTTTGTCTTTTGGGGGGATTTTGTTTTGCTTTTTTAGTTGTTGTTGTTTTTGTTTCTGTTGTTGTTGTTTTTTTTAGGGAGGGGGTGTTTTTGCCTTTTGAAAATAAAGTTTAGATCTTTTTTTAAAAACAAACCCCAAAAAAAAAACGCTATAGCTTTTGATTATTTTCACCCAAAGAAGATTTAACTCCAGAGAAATCGAGCCATCGGCGTGCTCCTCTCGCCTCTGTTGTTTCCAGAACATTCAACGTCAGTTTTTCTGTTGTCTGTCTGTCTGTCTGTCTGTCTGTAGTTTTTTGTTTGTTTTGTTGTTGTTGTT